CCTCTGAGCTCTGATCTCAAGAATGGACAGGAGTCACCATGTGTTATCAGGCCTGCACTATGTAACTACTGTGTAGATTCAGGAAGACCATGGGAGACTCAGGAAGGGAACTGGGAACTGGGGAAAGTTAGGAGGAACCATGATAACCACAGGGGGGCACTGCATCCCCATGGGCTCGCCTGGAATGTGTAGGACCAACAAAGTAGAGAGGTCAGCCAATGACAGCACACCCCTCTCCCTGGCACCCAGCAGAGAGCCGCTCTTCCTCTTCCTAACTTGGGCTTCTTATGCAGGGACATCTATAGGTAAGAGACACACATGGTCATCACCCACTTCACATACCACCCCCATGTCAGGTACATACACACGCACTCACATTTTACACAGAAATGAGATTTTCTTCTTCCGAAGATTACTCTGCTAACAATACAGTGTTTGCTGTGCAGTTGAATGTGCTGAGAAGACCCACCTTCCCTTCCATAAAGCACAGCAGCAGCTATTGGCAGTCAAGGCTGATGCTGGTTGGAACTCTTTGCCTTTTCCTCATGTTTTGTTTACCTAGGAGCTAGTTATGCCAGTGATTCCAATTATGCAGTTTCTTTTCTTCGGTGTGACATTTAAGTACCTGCTGCCTGCCCTGTGCCTGGTCACCAAACACCCTCACCCGTCCTGATCCTGGCCTACTGCATTTAAAATAGTTCGGTGCCATGAGAGTGATGAAATGCTCAAGCATCAAGAGCATGTTCCATGCCCCACTTCCACGTCAGTGTGTCAGTGCTAGACATCAAGCTGCATTAGTCATCAGGTCTGTTTCACCGAGGAAAGTGAATAATTGCCCATGGGGTTTCTACAAAGTAATCTGGCAAATGACCTTGTACTATTCCATCCACAGTACTCTGGACAATAATATTATAAAGTGCATCTCATTTTTACTTCTTGTGGCCCTAGAGCCCAAGGATCAACCTGCAACAGCCACAAAATACCTGAAGTTCTCTTGATGATTATTGTTCATAATTGTTGAGAAGGTTTTCAAAGAACCATAGATATAGTCTAATTAACTGCCCAAACTTGGATTTATGTGGAGGAGGAATTCCTGAGAGGAAATCCTGGTTGCTGTGACTCACCTGAAAAAATCTTAAGATTGAGATCAACTGAGCAACCTGCATGAGGTGTGGTCTGCTGATCGTATTGAATCGCCTAAAATGGAATCTAGGTGACCTCACAGAAGATCCTGCAGGAAGGTGGTCACAAGATGTCCTTGAGTACTTCAGTTGGCTTTCTGCACTTCCTTAAGATTATGATGTTGGTGACATCTCTGAAATCCCATGGCATTTCTCAATAACTGATAAGGAAGTCTTCTAAGATCTAAGTAGCCCCTCCGGAAATGTGAAGATATTATCAATATCAAGGACAATACCATTGTCTAATCCATTGAATAAGGGCCAGTGACTGTGAAGTTACATTTTGTGAAGTGTCTATGCTATGCAAGCCCCCTCCCATGGTTTGTGTCACTTGGAGAAGAGAATGTGAGAGTTGGGCAGGGATGGGGTAGGAAAGGGGCATGATGCAAGCATACTGAGACAGAATAATAATGGTGCTCAGATTCCTCTACAGTTTATTGTTACAGCAGAAGTTGTGGGAGACAGGAGAGCACCCTCCACACATAACACAGTGGTCAGAGAGCCCCAAGGTAGCCCTTCCCACCCCTATGCCAAGCCCCAAGCAGCCCTGCCCCGGCTTTGCCCCCTCCCTCTCCCACTCTAGAAACACTATCTAGACAGCTACAAAGTTAGTGGAGCCAATGGCCCCAGGCCCCTTCCTGTTGCCCAGCTCCAATCCTTCCCTCAAACTTGTTCATTGCCTATCACCTCCCAGTCCAACTTCCATTCACACACCCGATATTTCCATCACATCCTGAGGACCACTAACCCACCAACAAGCCTCCCTGACACATTTATTTAGGCCCATATCATTCAGAGATCTGAAGGGTTCATGAGAAGCCATATCTGCTTTGGTGAATAGAGACCCAGCACCAAGTGCCCTACCCTTACAATGGGATGAGTAGGGAGAGTCTGGGGCAGGCACCATGGACATCTACAATGACCACTTATCCCTCATCTACAGACACCTAAATTAGGGAGAGGGGACGCATGCCCTCTCCACCTTAACAACAGAATGTGGGAGAAGGATCATTTAGGGGTCTGAGTCTCTAAGCGATATTAGGACAGCTCTCCCAGGAGCTGAGGGGTTTCACAGGTTAGAGGGCAAGGTTAGGGTAGTGATCAAAGATCAAGGTCATCTCCTCACATGATCTGCCCATCTTCCCTTGCTCATTCTGGCCCAGTTTTGTATGCACCTCCCAGGTTAGTGCTGTGGGAGGTAAGGGCTGGGTCCCACACCAGGGCAATAAGGGCCATTCAACGGGAGACCTCAATGGTGTGCCCTGGGGCTCTAAAGGGAGAGTCCCAGACTCGCTGATCTGGGACAAGGTTCAAATGCGGGACCGGCTGCCATCAATGGATGCTGCACTAGTCAAGGAAGCTGTGTGAGATCGGGACAGGTGAGTCATGCAGGATGAGGCCACTGTGGAGACAGAAGGATAAGCATGCAGTCAGAGAGGAGGAGGGGAAGAGGGGCTGGCAAATCAGAGCTGGGTGTGAGAGTTACAAATGGGGGTGTCCAGTTGCTGGTCATTTTCCACAGCTCCCTTTCAGTGCACATTTCACTTTTCCATTCAGAGCAAGAGGTCTGGGGCTGTTATGTGTTTACTCAGCGAGATAGACCACCGACTCAGAATTTAAATTTAAGAGCCTTTATTAAGCTGGCCAGCTGACCACAGCTACAGCACCCTGCCGAAGCAAAGGCTGAACTGCAGCGCTGACTTCAAGAGTTACATTTTATTATTAAATTTTGTGGAAGCCCAGAGAAAAATGTGTCTTTCAAATTCTGCCCCCGCCCCCCATATGGAGGAAACTCTCTTTATTTATACTTTATCCAGTCCTTTGTCTCCCAAATTTGGAATGAGACTTCCAGGCCCTCTGAGAAAGAAGGCCTGCGTGCTGGGAAGGGGTCATGAGACCATATCTCAAGGCCTGGCCAGATGTCAATACCTTCCTATCTATGTGTTTTAGGAACAGACAGCACAGCATGACCCGTCTGGCCAAAACGCCAGATATGCAGCCCAGTACACCCTCAGTGGCCATCCCTCATTCTTGCAGCAATCCCTTGTCCTCATGATAGCCTCTGACCCCCATACTCACTGTACCCCATGACTTGCAGGAAGTACTTGAAGGCCTCGGTCAGCTGTGTGAGATCGGGACAGGTGAGGAGAGGGAGACAGAGATGAGAGGGAGACAGTAATGTGAGTTTATGAGCTGAACAGGAGCCCAAGGCCATGGCAGTTTGGGGATGGGATGTGTGGCAACGGGTATATATAGTTCAGTGACACTAATATCCCCTCCCTGGATGGCTGGGGACACTCACCTGAGTCAGCTGGGGCTGACCTCCGGAGTCAGCCATCTATTTGGGAGAGAACCCTCAGCAAAAGTGATACACACATGAATAAAGTGAGCTAGCCAGGAAATAGAAAGGATCTCTCTTCCCTGCTTTCCCACTTTAGGCAGTTAATAATTTGGGGTTGGTTTTTTTCTTCTTTTTTTAAAATATATTTATTGATTTCAGAGAGGAAGGGCATTCAACCCACTTGCTCCAGGGGACCCTGGAGCCTAACCGCTGAATCAAGGATTCAGTATATACAGCTCTGGATGGGGGGCCAAGAATCAGGCTGGACATGGAGTAGGGTTACTGACCTTGAGGAAAGAAGTCTGGGTGGGGTTCAGACTTGAATTACATTCCACCTGAAGTAGGAAGCTGAATGAGGTCACACTCCCTGTGGTCCCTCCCATCCAAGGGACCCTAGGACCTAACCCCTTACCCATTTCCTTCTTAAAAGGAATCAACTTCTTATACACCAAAATTGCTCTCCATGTCTCAAACAGAGTTTGCCTTCTGGCAAGATAACCCTCTAAGCACCACCCTAAGACTCCAATCCTCCCTCACCCAACCCCAAATTCCCTGCTAACCACTGCCTCTTTATGGGATGCTTGGTCTCAGACCACCAGCATCAAAGGGTACTTAGAGGCACTGTGTTGGGGAGGAGGTGGTGAGCCCCTGCACTCCCTCACCCACCTCTTCCCAGAAGAACAGCCAGTAAGTGTTGGGCTCCAAAGAGGAAACAGCCTTCTGAACCCCACTGATCCCACTGAGAGGATTCAAAGGAGAAAGACCTAGAGGGTGATGATTTGCTAAGTGGGATGATATGGGGCCCCTCACAAGAGAACAGGGACATAGGAAAAATGCCCAGAGCTTTGGTCACCATGTGAAGTTGTACTATTCTCTAGGCTCTTCCCAATTTGTTTATACGCTCCCCTCCCCACAAATTCTCCATCTCCCACAGATAGTTTTAGCCATCCAAGAAGCTGAATGTATTCAATACATTTTGTTTTGAGGCAGCAAAAGTGATTCTCAGAAACTGAGTTGTCTTTGCCAGCAATTTATTTAGCACAAGTTTA